GTGTGTTGGATCTCATGGAAAAGGAATTACAAATGATTGTGAGCTGCCCCATTAGTGCTGGGAAAGGGATTCGGGATCCTCTGCAAGAGCAGCAAGTAGTCTTCATCACAGAAACATCTCTGCAGCTCTGTTAATAATCCTTATATATTTGTATTATGTGAACATGTGTGTAGATGACAGGAATATAAAAAATGACTTGTGAGAGAGGAAAATGGAGACCTTGAAGGAGGAATGTAGGAGGAAAAGAGTGCATGTGACATGAAAGCATAAGAGTGAATACTGAGTTGCAGCAGGGAGAAAGCAGAAGTGGGGGCAGAAAGATGGGGTAGAGAAGGCATTGAGCAGATGCTTAACAAACTATAGATGAAAATGCCACAAGGCGTCCAACTACATTGTGGGCTGGTAAAACTAAAAATACCTTTCACTTTAAAATAAGCTAAAAATTAAAACGGTAAAATCCATTTTGCAGTAGAATTACCATGAGGCTAGGTATATACCTACAATAATTGAGTCAGACAAATGATCACATATTAAAATTCAGAGAACTGTTATTTATCGTTTTCCCAGAGTGGAATGAGCCATAGACCAATGACTAAGTAAATATCTGTACAATTACATAATACTTGGCAGCAAAATATTAATTTTTGGAACATAAAACTACAAAAACACTGAAAACATGCTAATAGAGCCATCCATGAAGAACATATATTCACATGAAATATCAAGAATAGGAAAATCTGTGAGAACATAAAGTGGAGTGAAATTTCAGGTGGACAGTTGGATATGAGAATATGCATGGACAGGCACAGGAATCGGGAGATGAGAATGAATAATGGTGGACAGGCACAGGAATCGGGAGATGAGAATGAATAATGGTGGACAGGCACAGGAATCGGGAGATAAGACTGAATAATGGTGGACAGGCACAGGAATCGGGAGATGAGAATGAATAATGGTTCTAAAATGCACGGTAGATTGCTTTGAGTAACATCAAAGTACAGAGGCTATTTGATGACACTCACAAAGTGAACATGAAACTTCTTAGGGATGACGGAATTGGAACCTGAGCCCAACATCCAACCACCGTTGCTTCTCATGTCATGGAAACACAGAGCGAAGATCAGGATTCTTCTTGGAGTGATTGAAAGCAATTGATGAGCAAGCAACATGTGTTTGTTCTATACCACCAGAGCTGGCCGCACAGGGTCTAAACCCTGAACACACCCTCAGACCCCATTTACTATTTCCACACACAAAGACAAAAGTTAAGCATCTTTAAGAACCCAGGAAAGATTAGAACAAAAAGGATAAAGATTCCCTAGGGTTGAAAGTTTATATTTCTTTATTATATACAAAAAGTTATGCTTTTGATAGCTGTAAAGTTCAGGAAATTGTCCTGAAGGAAAGAGTAATAAATGCCACCTATGGCCCCATGATCGATGGTGAACACATACAACATGGAATTATAAAGTAACCTCACAGATGTGGATTGGGGGTGCAGTACTGGTGGTAGTAGACACAATTACATTTTCATAGAAAGGTAAGAAAACAAAATGAACGGACAGGCATGGGAACAAGGACTGCTTTAATATTGGCTCGAGGAAGCGTTAAACATGCCATCTGCTTGCCATATTCCTCCTGTTTTCACATATTGGCAAGCATAGAATGTTGACTGATGAAATGTTAATTTTTCTAGAATGTTGTATATCTGTCCTGAGTCCTCTTGCAGGTAGTCTGTCATGTAGAACTGAGTAGTGTCCTTGGAAGCCTTCCCAATGTGTCTGGTTTTCCATGTCTCCTTCTGCTTACAACTACTCTAGGATGGGCTGGAGAGATGGCTCAGCAGTTAAAGGCTAGGCTCACAACCCAAAATAGAAAAGGTATGACGGCTTCTTGTGCAAATTTTTGCTGGGGGAGACACTTCAAGACATTAGCAAACAAAATGTTTCCTAAAAACATGTGATAGTTTTCAGTCACCCTTCATCCTTCCCCCCTAACAAAGTGGGCTCCAGTCAACAAAAGCCTGTTCATTGCCTGAACAGAGATTCTGTATGTATCTTTCCAGACTTGATTTGCTGTTTTTCCTATTTGAAATTGTTTTATTGGTTGTTGTTCTTTAACTTCTACTTTCCCCTAAGTGTAGGAAATATTGATCAGTAACTATAATTGGTCTCCACTAGAGGTCCCAGAGGTAAATTGGTCCTGGAAAGGTCCAGAGTAATTACTGTGACTTTAATGAGTTACACAGGACCTGGACTCCTCTGAGATGCAGAGCACATAGGGCCCAGGGATGGCAGCAGGGCTGTGGGGAGGGGTGAGAGTAGGGATGGTGCAGATAAGTGGGGGTACAGATGCTGCTAGAACCTGTGCTTGCAAATAACACAAAGGTGGGCAGGATCCTGACCCAGAAACTGTGACTCATCTCAGCAGAGCTGGCTACAGTCAGGAACACAAGCCGCTGTCTGGCTGTCAATCCACATGAAATCCCTGTGTTGGACAGGACAGTTCAGGTATGTTGATCTTCTTCTTTTCTCTGTTTCTTTAACTACACTGCACAAGTATTTGTTTCATGGTCATCATGTAACCCCTTTCATATTTTTGGGTTCATTACAATTACTCATTACATTTTTTTCTCAGTATCACATAATTTCAGCCCAAGAGCAGCCCTGTGCAGTGGAGTTCAGTGCTACAGTGCTGAAGGCTTGTTTAATCTACTTTCACCTGTGAGATCTTAAGACTCTGAACTAGTGTCCTACCAAGATGATGATTATTTTTATTTGTACAAGTTCACAGATTTCTGTTATTGACATGGTATGTGAGTGCTCCTAAGTGCAGTCCATCAAGGGTGACATTAACATAATCTAGGTGTTTATGTAAATGTACAGTGATGACCACTCTGTCATTCTGCAGAATCCAAGATGATATGCAGGTGTACCAAACATTAGAAACAGCCCTTGTGATAATTATGTGATGTTTCGTTTGAGAACCGTGAGCTTAACATGTAACGAAGGTGTGAAGTCCATTGGCCGGTAGTTAATGGTGATCTCTCTGGCTTCTGATCATTGCACACCCGCACACATAACACAAAGGCACTGTTCATTTACAGGAGAAGCAGAAACTGGGCATCCGACACCTGCCCGTCACCCCAGTGCTCAGTGCACAGAGAGGGATGTTGCACACTTGAGGCCAGATGGGATTTATAAGGAGAGCTTTATTATTGGCATATGGTGCGTGGTTTTTCCCTCTGTAACACCCACTCACAATGTGTAAGTGTGCAAAGTGTGTGAGTTCAGTTGCATTAGACACTGTAAGTCTATGGTACAAGCAGTTAGACTTGGTTGTAGCATTTCACAGACACTTATAGGATGTCTTGATATTTTTCCCATTCTGTCAACTTTGATATATTCAATAGATGCATTAGTCAGTGTTTTCCAGAATCACAGGATAACATGTTTGTGTGTATGCATGTGTGTGTGTGTGTGTGTGTGTGTGTACACGTATGTGACTAGGATATAGAATGCACCATGACAGGGGCTGGCCCTAGATGGAGATTAAGAATGATTGTAAACAAACAAAGAGAATGAAGCCATGTGTGACCTTTCCTGCAGAGAGTTTAAAATTGATGGAGGATTTATGTTTGGATCTAAATTCACAGATTTTTGACTCAAACCTGAATTTCTTTTACTGTACTATGGCAGCCTGCAGTGGCAGTAAATTGAGGAGTGATGTAGAAGAAAATAAAGAAGGGATCAAGTACTAAGTGCATAGGAAATGTCTCCGATGCTAAGACACATGGCTGGATGTGTCACTGGTATAGAGAGAGAGAACAGATGAAGCTGAGTATGTGAAAAGCAATATGCCTGACATAAGAGTGAAGATGAACCAGATGAAGGGAACAGAGGGGAGGCAGTGCTAGGCAAGGGGAGGAAAGTGTTAAAATGTGGGAGGTAAAAGATTTACCCCGGAATTGAACCATAAGAAAAAAACTGGGAGACCATGTGGGGATGTGCCACTGGCACCTGTGAGATAAGGAAACAATATTTGTGTCCCTGATAGGAACTCTGTCCTTATCCTCAGAGCAACGGTGATAATCTGAAAAATGAATCAGGAAAGATACGAAGGAACTCCTCTGTTAGAATGTCACAGTGTTGATGGAGCATGTTGAAGAAGAGAAGGGTCAGAGGCATGAGAACATGGACATGAACTGAGTCTGTATTCTGGTAAAGACAAGATATGGCCCTCACGTTTTAGTATAATCCACAGAGAGGAATGAATGAAATAGCAGGAGAGACACTGGATACCGTATGACAGCATCATCGTAAGAAACATGTTTGGATCTAAATTCACAGATCTTTAATTAAAACCTGAATTTCGTTTACTATGGCAGACTGGAGTAGGAGTAGAATGAGGAATGATTTAGGAGACAGTAAAGTGAAGTGACTAATTTCCCTTTGAGATTTTGAGTCTCCGATGCCTGTCATACACGCAATGGAAAGAACATGATCGGTTAACGATGGAACACAAATGTGGATGTTACAGAGACATGCACGTCCGTGTTTGAAATGGTAAGCTAAGGCACTGAATGATGTTTTTCTTGAGTGATGATGAAGTTTATCAAATTCTTCAAGAGCATCAGTATATAAAATAACAAACAAGAAAATACAAATGAATAATAAACAGTCACTCAGGAAGAGCAAGTAGCTGAAGGTAGCAACAGCCAATTTTGTATCTTAGAAGAAAAGGCATAGATAAAACTCTCTAGGAAAAGGGAGGAAGATGGTAACCTACTGAAGAGAAATTGATAAAAATCATTGATTACAGACATTTCAAATTTGTGATTATAAGTACTATGATTGACTGTTAGACTAGTTGTTGTAGAATATATTTTTATATTGATATATATGTGCGTTGGTGTGTATATTTTGAATTTTGAATACAAAATTTTTTTTTGAATTTTATGGGACACTGATATTTTCTCATCAAGATACTGTAAAGGAAGAATGACAATGAACAACCAAACTGTCATCTCCCAGTTCCTCCTCCTGGGCCTGCACATCCCCCCAGAGCACCAGCACCTGTTCTATGCCCTGTTCCTGGCCATGTACCTCACCACTGTCCTGGGGAACCTCATCATCCTCATCCTCATTCTACTGGATTCCCGACTTCACACGCCCATGTACTTCTTTCTCAGCAACTTGTCCTTCTCTGACCTCTGCTTTTCCTCTGTCACAATGCCCAAGTTGCTGCAGAACATGCAGAGCCAAGATCCATCCATCACTTATGTGGGTTGTCTGACGCAAATGTACTTTTTTATGGTTTTTGGAGGTCTGGAAATTTTCCTTCTTCTGGTCATGGCCTATGACCGTTATGTAGCCATTTGCTTACCTCTTCAATACTCCAGCATCATGAGCCCCAGTCTCTGTGTTTGTCTGGTGTTGCTGTCCTGGGTATTTATCTTGCTGTATTCCATGCTGCACACCCTACTCTTGGCTAGATTGTCATTTTGCAAGGACAACGTGATCCCCCATTTTTCTGTGACATATCTGCCCTGCTTAAGTTGGCCTGCTCTGACATTTATATTAATGAATTGATGATATTTATCTTGGGAGGGCTTGTTAGTGTCATCCCATTCCTACTCATCATTTTGTCCTATATTCAAATTGTCTCTTCCATCTTAAGGGTTTCTTCTACCAAGGTTATTCACAAGGTCTTCTCCACCTGTGGCTCCCACCTGTCTGTGGTGTCACTGTTCTATGGGACAATTATTAGTCTCTACATATGTCCATCAACTAATAACTCTACTGTGAAGGAGACTGTCATGGCCATGATGTACACTGTGGTGACTCCCATGCTGAACCCCTTCATCTACAGCCTAAGGAACAGAGACATGAAAGAGGCCCTGATGAGAGTCCTTTGCAAGAAGAAAATCTCTTTATAATGGCAAAACTGGGATATTTACTTAAATTTATCTAGTATACATATTGATATTAAAATTACAAAATGTAGTCCTACAATGGAATACAAGAATATACTACATAATGTTTCTATTTCCAAAAGGAGGTTTATAAAGAAGTTCAGTTAAGGAAGGTGACCTTAGTGACCCACTATTGCCGTCCTCTGTCTTGCTTCGGTGATTCTAGAACAGCATTAGGTACAGCCCACACTGTATCACATATACTTTCTTTATATTCTTTTTATAGATAATAGATTCTTCTCTCACACAATACAGCCCAGCAACAATTCCTTCCTGCCACTCCTCCTAGGTCCCCAAGCTGCCTTCTTCTTGATATTCACTCTCTCTCTGTTTCCTCCAGAAAGGAGCAGGCCTCCAAGAGATGACCGCCACACAAGAGAAAACAAGATGCAATAAGGCGAGGTGAAACCTCATATTGACTGGACAAAACAAATCTGTATGAGGAAATGCATCTCAAAAGCAAGAAAAAAAAGTCAGAAATAGGTCTCTCTCTCCCTGTCTTCCTCTCTCCCTCTCTCTCCCTCTCTCCCCTTCTCTCTCCTGTTCCTCCCTTTCCCTATCATTACCCCTCTCCCTTCCCCTCCCCCCTCAAGCATAAACAAACACACACACACAAACAAACTAACAGCCCTAACATAAAATCAGAGGACCTGGTGCAGACTCAGGAAAGGCCCTGGGCTTGCTATTTTAGCCTCCTTGAGCCATGTGAGCCCTGCTTACTTGAATCATTGGGTCACATTCTCCTGGTGTCCTCCATCATGTCTGATTACTACAGTTTTTCCACCCCATTTTCTCTGAGGGGAGAAACTTAGGGAGACTTTCAATACAGACTCTCCCCCTTCCCTGCAATATTGGATCTCAGTTTCTGTAAGCACTGCAGTCAACTGACCATGAAGCCTGTCTAATGATTACTAGACAAGGCACCAATTATTGATTATACCAGAATATCATCAGGAATCATTGACTTATTTTGCCCGTTGCGGTTGGGTCTACCCACCACAATCAGGGGCTCTAATCCCTGATTGCTGGCCATCAGCAGTGTAGAGCATGGACTCCCTGTTGTGGAACAGGCCTCAGTGAAAGCCAACAGTTCCTGGCCTCTCCCACAGTTCTGAACCCCTGTTGACCCAGCACATCTTGCGAGCAGGACACATCAGAGGTGGAGGGTGTTGTGCTGGGTGGGTGTCCAGGTTTCTCTTTCTGAAGCCTGCAGAGTGTGAGCGTGTGTACCATGCCACCAGAGGAAGGGGCATGGAGCTGGAGAGGTGGAGTGTGTTCAATCCCTGGAAATCTCAAACTTGAGATATAAAACCTCATTCTGAGACTGGCAGGAATGAGACAGTTCCCTCTCTGTTGTCCATGCCTGCCTTGGAGGATGGAAACCTAACCATCAACCAGGTAGTCACTGTCGGTCAGTCACATAGCAGGCACCTGGATGTAAGCAGAGCCATCACCAGCATGGCAGCCTACACCATGGGAGATACTCATCCCCAAAGCCCTCTCCCCTGCTCAAAACGTTCCTGTTTGCATGGGAAAAACACACACCATCTCTTTCACCAGAGATCATCTGAGACTGGCTGTTTCTATAGAGCTGTAAAACCTAGAAAGGGCTCCCTTTCTCCACAAAGAATTCATTGCTGGACCCCCAGACTCGCCTGCCGCTCATGCTCTCTTCTTGACCACTGCAGCAGGCCCTGCAGCCACCACAGCAGCTGCCTTCCAAGCTCACTGAGGCAGCTAGCTTCCGCAGCGTGTTGGCGCGAGCTGCCGCCGCCTTCCCTGCTGCCCGCCTCAGTGCTCATCTGCAGCACTGGGCTGCCGGCTCCACCTGAAGCAGCTGCCTTGTTGGCCTGAGTCAGGTGTGACCGCTGTCACCAGGCCTGGTACCGGCAGCCCACCTACAAGAGCTGTGACACGACGCTGTAGTGCAGAGAGGGTCTTTCTCTCCTGCATGTTTATCAGAGAGCCGTAAAGTTTACGCGCAGAGGATCTTCTTCTCCCAAACCCCTGCTGGACTGGAAATACCAAAGCATGGACCCTGCACACCATCCCTCTCAGCCTGGAGCCTGGTGGCGCTTGGATGCTCCAGGGAGAAGCATGCTTCCTCCTGACTCCGTGCTGTGTAGCTCCAGCACACCAGCGAAAGGCAGAACCACAGCAGAGGGCCTTCCTGAATCACAGACTAGAATGTAGGGGTAAAGGCTCCAAGCCCACACCAACTCAACGCTGGTGTTCAGTGACATGTGTGGATGCTGTCCTTGGCAATGGTGGCCCACTGTCAGTTATCAGAGAGCTAACCAATGGCCTAGCATCAGCCTGGGCTATTTAGGGATGTCGACAAGAACGCCTAGAACAACAGCTCAACCCAATGTAAGAAAATGCCAACACTGGGATCCTTGCCTTGCTGGAAAAGGTGGCCATGTCAGACTCTCTATCTCCCTTTAGTAGGGATGCTCACTAGGGTCACCCTCAGAGAGTCCAGGAAGTTTCCACTGCACTGTTTTTTTCAAGATCCCTGCAGGAGGAGTAACTGTAGATCTCATGAAATGTGGCCCACTGGTTGGCACAACCATGACGGGTGTGCCTTGGAGAAGAAGAGTCCTGAGGACTATGTGTCCTGAGGACTGCACAAGGAGAGCAATAGAACCAAAAAGTCTGGGCTCAGGAGTCTTTGCAAAGACCAATACTCCAACCAAGGACCATGCATATAGATAACCTAGACCTCTTGCTCAGATGTAGCTCATGGCAGCCTAGTTTACAAGTGGTTTCCCTAGTAAGGGGAACAGGAGCTGTCTATGATATGAACTCAGTGGCTGGCTCTCTGATCACCTTTGCCTAAATGGAGTGCAGGTGTACCAGGCCTCAGAGGAAGACAATGCAGGCAGTCCTGATGAGACCTGATATGCTAGGGTCAAATTGAAGGGGAGAAGGACCTCCCCTTTGAGTGGACTGAAGGAAGATCATGGGAGGAGATGAGGTTTGGAGGGCGGGATCGGGAGGCAACGAGGAAGGGGGCTACAGCTGGGTTACAAAGTGAATAAATTGTAATAAATAAAAATGAAAATGGTGGGAAAAATCTTTTATCCCTGATTTCTTTGCATTCTCTCAAAAGAAAAAACCGCTTTAGATTATGCTGTAACTTTTTATTTTTATTTTATTTAAGTTTATTCACCTTACATCCCAAGGTTTCCTCTTCCTCCTCCTCTCCCTGTCCTCCTCCCCCTTTTCCTACTTATCTTTTCACTTTTCCCCTGAAAAGGGGTGCTCCCTCCTCCTGTATCAACTCTCCGTGCACATCAAGTCACATCAGGACTAAGGATATCCACATCCCCTATGAGGCCAGGCAAGGCATCCCTGACAGAGAGCAAATGATCCAAAAGCAGGCAATAGAATCCACATTAGAAACAACTGCGCTCCACTCAAGAGATGACCCACATGAAGACCAAGCCACCCATTGGACATATATGTGCAGGGAGCCTAGATCCAAACTATGCATGCTCCTTAGTTGATGTCTCCATCTCTGTAGACCCCATGGGTCTGGGTTAGTTGTCTCTGTTGGTCTTCTTGTGTAGTTCCTGTCCCCTCCAGATCCTTCCATCTTTCTCCCAACACTTCCAGGAGACCCTCAGAGCTCTGTCCCATGCTTGGCTGCAAGTCCGAGCATCCATCTCAATTTACTGCTGGGAGGAGCCTCCCAGAGTACAGTCATGGGAGCTCCTGTCTGCAAACGTAGCAGAGCACCATTAATAGTGTCAGGCGCTGACTCCCTTTTGTGGGATTGGGTCTCAGTTTGGGCCAATTATGGGTTGGACTTTCCCTCAGTCTCTGTTCCCTCTTTAACCCTGCACTTCTTGTGGACAGGGTATCATTAGGATCAAAACTTCTGTGGGTGGATGGTTGATCCGCTCCCTCCACTAGTCCTTCCTGGCTAGAAGGTGGTCACTTCAGTCTTCACATTCCCCCTACTCCCCATTAGGAGTCTCAGCTAGAGTCACACCCATATCCTCCCAGGAGCCTACCCTGTCTCAGGCCTCCAGCCTGCCAAAGAGATGCCCCCTCAATTTCCTTTCTTGTTCCCGGCCTTCTCACCTCCGACCCCTGTTCTCCACACATCCGATCCCCACCTGTGTTTCCCTCTCCACTCCGTATCCTGCTGAGTTCCTCTCCATCCACTTCTGCTGTCTATTCCCTTTCCCCTTCTGAGTGACATTCCAGCACCCTCCCTGGGGCCCTTGTTGTGGACTGTGGTGTGGTTATTGTGTCCTATATGTCTACTGCCCACGTTCAAGTGAATACATACCATCTGGGTCTTTCTGGGTCCCGTTACCTGCCTCAGCATGGTTTTTCTAGTTCCATCCATTTGCCTGCAAATTTCATGATTCCCTTCTTTTTAAAGCTGAGTGGTAATTCCATTGTGTAAATTTACCACAATTTCTTTATCTATTCTTTGGTTGAGGAACATCTAGGTTGCTCCCAATTTCTGGCTATTAAGAATAAAGCTGCTATGAACACAGTTGAGCAAGTGTCCTTGTATGATGAAGCATCTTTTAGATATAGGCCCAGGAGTGGAATAATTGATGTTGAGGTAGAACTATTCCCAATTTTCTGAGAAAGTACCAGGTTGATTTCCAGAGAGGTAAAAGTTTGCAATCCCCCCAACAATGGAGGAGTGTTCCCCTTTCTCCAAGTCCACATCAGCATGTGTTTTCACTTGAGTTTTTATCTTAGCCATTCTGACTGTTGTAAGATGGAATCTTAGGGTCATTTTGATTTGCATTTTTCTGATTATTAAGGACACTAGGCATTTTTTTAAAGTGCTTCTCAGGCATTTGAAATTCCTTTGTTATGAATTCTCTGTTTAGCTCTGTACCTTATTTTTTAACTGTATTATTTGATTTGTTGATGTTTAATTTTTTTTTTACTTCTTTGCATATTTTGGATATTAGTCCTCTGTCTGATGTAGG